ATATTGGGCTTACATTCCCAATCCTCCACTAAATAGAATTGTTCACTGGGGTGATACACCTTTCCCTATTTTCATCAATGATTCCAACTGGCTTCCCAGACCGTATGATATAAGGGGTCCATTGTTCCCCCTCAAGGAGGGAACTATCATAAAAAATTATACAGTGGGCACTGAAGGCCCTCCAATTTGTTTGAGGGCTGGAGCTCACTGCTTACAACCCTCCCAACAGACATGGATGGTCATAGTCGGAAATAGTAGTGACACCAATTTCCGACTTCTTTTGTTATCTGCCTGGAGCTTTAATTCAGTTGCCACTACTAATGACTCATTTCCTAATATGCCAAATTGTCACCTAAGAGAAATTCATTTAGACCAATGGGCGACTTGGGAAAACGGTCGGTCGAGGAAATAAGGGATGAGTCCTAATTAACACTTCCTATGGAAGGGTAATTGATTGGAGCCCCTATGGCTCCCCTCATTCCTGAAGAACTTTGATGAATCTTAAATGGCACCAAGATGATCAAAATGTATATGCTAGAACTTATCTGAGGGCAGATTCTGTTGTCTGACATAATGGAGGCTTTTCCCCTCCTTCTCCACATTTGATGCAGGGACCAATCCACAACCAGCTCTGGAAGTTGTCTGTATCACTACACACTTTACATGTCTGGATAGGCATCTACAGGTGTTAATAGCTCTAAGATTCTGTCCTTTACAAAAAACTCTACTCGTTTTATTCAGGCTTGTGTTATACTACCCTATTTACTGATGGTTGGACCTGCAAAATATAATGAAACTTCTTTTCTTGTGTTTTGTAGTAATTGTACTTTTCACACTTGCATAGACAATAACATAAACCTAGATTTCTCTAAGGACAGCATTTACATATTAAAAGCCCGTAATGGGGTGTGGCTACCCGTACAGAAGAACAGACCTTGGCAGGACAGTCCTGCCGTGTACTTTCTAGACGAATTGTTGGGACAACTGTTAAAACATGCAAAAAGATTTATTGGACTCTTAATTGCAGCAATTCTAGGTGTAATTGCTGTCACAGCAGCCACTGCTATGGTGAGCGCGATTCTTCATCAAAACAGTACAAACTACAGAGTTCATGCAAAAATGACACCGAAACTCAGAAACCTTATGGTTGTTGCTCCATGAATTAATATAAATATATTGGAGACAGGAAACGTCTCAGGAGTTTTGCAGAGCTTTGCCCTGAAGGAATATGTTAACGTGTTAGTTTACATATTGAAAGCTGTTTCACCTCAGGAGGGCATCTCTGAAAGACAGTAGCGGCTGAATCCCACGATGGTGCTGCGATTCTCAGACCTAAAGGTTTGGACTTGCTTTGTAAAGCAAGGCAGGTCTGCTAAAAACTACAGGATGAGAGCTGATCAAAGAGTGCCCGCCCAAACAGACAGCCACCTATGGCTAAAAGCAATTAGCCCAAGAGCCAGTTCCTGCTTAAAACTCCGGGCTACCTGTCTCCATTCACAATAACCTGATAAAGAAAATATGGAGCCAATATATCTCTGTTTAACCCCTCTGTTAAGTGATAAATTTACCTTAGAACTTAGAAGTTAGTCTTTGAAAGATTTTGTAACCATTTGTTCACATAGAAAGAGTTAGTTGAGGGATCTGAAGAGGCCTTTTGAAAAACTGTTAACCTAAGGGGAACTACCTGTTGTTATGTAAATCTTTTACCCCTGGCAACTGATCACTGTACCTATAAATGGCCGTGTAAAACTTCACTCTTGGCCTCTGAGATTGACAGAGAAATCCAGGCCCCCTGAGCACCTGCTTTGCCTATAATCTTTATAAATCTATAAAACTATACCTTCATCTCTGTGTATTCTTTTATTTCCATTATTTTCCATTTTCTATTATTTTCTTATCCTTTGCAACCCTACCAAAGGGACCCGAATTTTTGCTGGGAGTGTGGCCCTCTCCCTGCATATGGTCAACATAAAACCAAATAGACTACAAGTTGGTGTCTGAGATAGCAGACCTAGAAGAAACAGTAGTGCTACTAGGCGACCAGCTTGTGAGTTTACAAAAACAACTAAAATTAAAATGTGATTGGAACATCACTCAGCCGCCATGTTTATAATAATACCCAATTTCCATGGAAAAATATAAGAAGACATTTGTTGAATCAAGGAAACCTTACAGAGAAAATTGGAAACTTACATCAATGAATTCTAAATACTCAACTGGGAGCTGGAAATGCTCTCTGGTACAGATATCTTAAGTAGCATTAATGAAGGAATTTATTCTCTTTATCCTGTAACTTATATCACAAAATTTGGCGGTTTAATCATTACATTGGTTGGTGGGATATTAATTACTTGCTTTTTTTTTTTCATAGTCTGGAGGTGCCACCATCGAAAGCAAAGGAAACAAGACCAGCGGATAGCTGCTGTTGCGATACTCCTCCACAAGATGTCAACAAAATAAAAAAGGGGGAGATGTTGCGGTGGTCGAGAATAGTTGAGACCATCATTGAACATAGCTAGTGTAAGAAAGCATAGATGAGATCTTGAGCACAAGACCAGCTGCCTTTCTCAAGGTCAGAGTACGTCGTGAGGCAGGAGATGTTGAAAGCAACAGCTCACCCCAGAGCAGAAAGCCACCATGGGACTGCTTAATGAAATGTCCAGCTGGATGAAAGGCAGGTGTGGCCTGTGGCTCACAGTTAATGAGTTTGTTTAATTGAAGGCTGGAAATAGCTTAGGCCAGATCAACAGCTTTGTTAAGAAGAATGTGTAACTGGAAAATATAAATCTTTACTATATTTTCTTAAGATCACATGCAAGACGTGTTGTCGCTCCATAAATTAATATAACTATATTAGAGACAGAAATGGTCTCAGGAGTTTTGCACGGCTTTGCCCTGAAGGAATATGTGAACGTGTTAGTTTGCATATCAAAATCTGCTTCACCTCAGGAGGGCATCTGAAAGATCAGTGGCAGCTGCTTCCCAAGATGGCGTTGTGATTCTCAAACCTGTGATTCTGACTTGCTTTGAAAGGCAGAGCAGGTCTGCTAGGAGCCACAGGATGAGAGCTGATCAAAGAATGCCCACCCGACAGAGAGACACCTGTAGCTAAAAGCAATTAGCCCAAGGGACAGTTCCTGCTTAAACTCCTGACTACCTCTCAATACACAATAACTTGTTAAAAAAAATATGGAGCCACTATATCTCTGTTTAACCCTTCTATTAAGTGATAAATTTACCTTAGAACTTAGAAGTTAGTCTTTGAAAGATTTTTGTAACCATTTGTTCACGTAGATGTAGTTAAGGGATCTGAAGAAGCCTTTTGAAAAACTTTTAACCTAAGAGGAACTACCTGTTATGTAAATCTGTTATCCCTGGCAACTGATCGCTGTACCTATAAATACCCATGTAAAACTTCACTCGTGGCCTTGTGATTGATGGAGATATCACAGGTCCCCTGAGTAACCCGCTTTGTGTATTATCTTTATAAATCTATAAAACTATACCTTCATCTCTGTGTATTCTTTTATTTCTATTATTTTCCATTTTCTATTATTTTCTTATCCTTTGTGACGACCCCTACCTAAGGGACCTGATTTTTTGCTGGGAGCATAGCGAACTCCCCGCAACATATGTCCTTCTTTATGGTTTAATGATTTCTTGCTTTTGATTGATATCAGAATAGAAACTTACAGCAAGCACCTGCTTTTGTATGAGAAAAATTTCTTAAAATGAAACTTCAACTTGATTGATGAGATTGTTTTGTTAAGAGAAATAAATAGAAGTGAGGAACTCAGCTTGGGGTTCTTGGTCTGGAGAAGCCTTGAGTCCCCTGACCCCACTCTTTCCCTTCTACGGTCTCTTTTCTTATTCCTGCACGACGCTCTGTTTTCAGCCCTGTTGGCCGGGGGAATTCCCAGCAATAGTCCTCCTGCTTAACATAAAATTAAATACAAGGTATAAAATAAGACCCCAGAAACTCACAAAGTGCTACTCACTCTCCGTTGCTCTGAGAAGATAGCTGCTGCTCTATGGGTAGCCTCCTTTTTTTATTTTCTTACTTCAATAAACTAGCTTTTGCCTTACTCTGTGGGCTTTCTCCTTAATTCTTTCCTCCACTTGGCCTTCAGGCTAGACCCCAGTTTTGGGGTCCACTTTCCTGCGTCAAGATTAACTCTTGCTAAATGCTGAACAGCGTTTTAATGTTCTACTAGATGTACATGCAAGAATACTAAGTGGTGAGAGTAACTTATTATCTTAATCATTATTTTTTACAAACCAATTACGTTTTTAAGAATGAGGCAGCAACATATAACGCTTAGGCTCAACATAATTGTAAACGGGGACGTTCATTTAAGTCATTTTGTCACAGTTAAATATCGACATTTCTAAAAGCCATTTTACAATTACGAAAGTACAACTCAGACTAAATAAAATGCTTAAAATGTTTAATAAAATGCTGGGATCAATATAAGGTGAGGGAAGATCTATAGCGCACATTTTGAGTTAAGACCCTAACCTTGAGAATGAGCTCCTCCTCAATAGTAATATTTGCGCCCCAGGAACCTCCCATGCCCCCTAAGCCCCGCCCTGGTAAAATAAATGGAAGGAGTCCCAAGGTCACGTGGGGTGTGGACCGTCTTTCCAAGTCTCAGATGCAGTTAAGCCAGTTACTCCATCCAATTCACCCGCCGTTGCGAAGTACAGATTTGTTGAACAGGAATTGCCAAGTTAAACGTAGTCATTTAAAGCTCCTCTCTGGAGTGACAGGTGTTGCCAGTTTGGAGTCACCAAAAACAAAACAGCAGTCATTGCCGGGAAATATCACGCCCTCGCTGGCTTATGCGGCAACTCACACAGTCCTGAGTGCCTTTCCCTATATCACAGACGCACACCGGGCTTCCCTCAGAGGCCTAGCGAGTGATGAAAACACGTTAAGTGTCGGCCCGGGAAACCGCAGGAACCCGCGGCAAACAATAACGACCGTCGCCGCCAGCCGAGAAAGGATGGCGCGCCCCCGCCGATTGCCGGTTTCGTGGGGCGCGAGCCCGGTCTTCAGGCGGTCGGTGTCCGCGTTCCGCCGATCCACAGCCGCAGCAAAGACCCGGCACTGCAAGGGAGAGGGAACGTTGTCTCCTCCAGGACTCGTAGAGCCACTGTACTAAGAAAGCCCGAGTCGCTGGCACGTCAAGCAGGCAGGCGGATCCGCGGACAGCCTGCGTGCTCGAGGACCCCGGTGGCGGGAAGGAGGAAGTTTCAAAGCCGAGTGTTTTGCTGCCGCTCGGCAAGATGAAGCTACACTGCGAGGTGGAAGTGGTCAGCCGGCACTTGCCAGCCTTGGGGTTGAGGAACCGGGGCAAGGGCACCCGAGCCGTGTTGAGCCTCTGTCAGCAGACGCCCAGGAGTCACCCACTCCCCGCCTGCCTGCTCATCTCTACCCTGAAGGACAAGCGCGGGACCCGCTATGAGGTGTGTGGAGTGGGGCAGGCCCTGCTAGGGGAGGCAGCCACGCGCTCTTTCCCGGAGCCGAGAGGCGGACCGCCCTCGGGCGTGGCGCGCAGGGCCGTAACCGAGGCGGGAGTCCGCCTGCGGGGTTCCTGAACTCCTGGTCCCTGAGTCCTACTTATAGCCTGACCCCAGGGTCCGGTGAGTCTCCCTACGGACCCAAAGGAGGAAAGAGTTTGAGAGTACACCTTTTCGCTATTTTTCTTGCCCATTTCTGCGACTGAATTTCCAGTATTGTTATTTAGTAGTGGATAGCAACCCCGCCTGTTTCAAGCCTCTCAAATTTCCGCCTGCGTGAAACAACTGCAAATGAAGCAGCCGTTCAGTTTGGGGGAACAGTAAAATAACTTCACTTTCGTTCAATAAATTCTGTTTCTCCCACATTATTTCCCCTAGCTTCTTTAAAAAACAGGTCATAGCAGCCTACACTTCTCTTGTCTTAGTATTCGTCATGCTTGTAATTACTTTTTAAATAACTGTTTCTCTTACCAGATTGTCAACTCGATAAGTGTAGTTACCGTGCCAGACTTACTCACTGATGTGTCCCGTGCCTCGTCATAGTACCTGGCTTCCCGATAAATAGTTGTTGAATTGAAGTCTAAAGCAGAGGCAACATCAGTTGTTAAAACATTTTCGAGCACCTATTAGGTCAGGGGATAGAGAAGTAAACAAAGGAGGCGAGATTCCTGCTTTCATGGGATTTATATATAATCTAGTGGGAGGAGTGCCTACTCTAGACTAATGGACTGAGGTTATGAAGGCAGGTAACTATTTTGGGCAACTCTCACTGCAGCTACATAGTTGTATTGGGAGAATACCTAGTTGTGTCCTTTTTTCTGTTTGGTTTTGAGCAGCTAAAGGAAAACATTGAGCAACTCTTCACCAAATTTGTGGATGAGGGGAAAGCCACTGTTCGTTTAAAGGAGCCTCCTGTGGATATCTGTCTAAGTAAGGTATGGTATTAGAAACATTAATGGTTAGGTTGCTTGGCTGTATTTTCTTTAAAGAAGGCTGAATGTCCTGATGTCCCATGTAGCTGAATAGGGAGAGACTCTTGCAGGTATGTTTGAAGAGGCAGAGACATAAGAGGCAGCTTCCCAGATATGCTTGTGTGCCTTCTAAAAGGGCAGAATCAGCCTTAGTAAGGATCCCAGGATGGGGAGGAAAACAGTTTGTTTTGGTGCCTGAGATGAAACATTAGGGTATTCTTAGACTGGAAATCTATAAGGCAAGTAGCATAGGTCTACCATTTTGCCAGCAAAACCACAAGTTACAAATCTAAGTTTGGTGTAAAAAAAGGGGGGGGGATAAAATGCAGTTAGAACTGTCTTTTTTTGTATTTTATTTACTATAATAATTTTAAAAAATACATCAACCATTAGAATTTTTTTAAAACTTTTTGCTCTATCTTCTGTTTATTTCTTCCCCCTTCCTAGAGTAGGAACAGTGTCTTGTTCATTCTTGCATTATCCTTAACCCCAAGCAAAATGCTTTGTGAATATTAAAAATTGAAGAACAATTTAAGGAATTTGGATGGAATGGAATCACTTTGTCCTACCTCTTCCATGTTCTTATTATTTTGTTCTTGTCCTTCAGCCTATCTTACCACTAACTTCTTTCCATCTAAAAACAAGCTGAGGTCTCACTGACTTAAAAAATAACATAAAACAGACAAATTTCTAGAAAGACAAGGCTGAATCCATTGCCTCTGCTTTCTTACTATCTTTTTGACCTTTCACTGGTTTTTTTCAAAGCACTGCCTCAAAGATCAGTAATCTCCTTCGTATTTGCCTGTCACATTGTAAGTATTTGTCATCCTTTTTGAACTCTAAAATTAGTCACCAGTAACGACCCTTTTCTTAATACTCTTTCCTGGCATCTATGATAGGGCACTACCCTGGTTTACCTTTAGTTTTCTCAGCCATTCCCTTATCTCCCATCTCTAGCAATCTTTTTTCTATCCCCAAATTGAAGGCTTTATTTCAATCCTCTGCCTGTTTTCTATCATACGTGCCTTCCATTCCCATAGCTCAGCTGTTATTGTGGGTGACTCTCAAGTCTGTAAGCCACTACCCTATACTGTACCTACTGGACCCAAATCTTCCCCAGAATTTTCCTACTCCAGTTCCTTGTGTACAGTGCTGCCAGAATAATATTTAGCTCTTGTCATGTAATTCTCTCAGTTTTTTTTTTTTTTTTTTTTTTAGACAGAGTCTCACTCTGTTGCCCTGGCTGGCTAGAGTGCAGTGGCGTCAGCCTAGCTCACAGCAACCTCAGACTCCTGGGCTCAAGCGATCCTTCTGCCTCAGCCTCCCAAGTAGCTGGGACTACAGGCATGCGCCACCATGCCCGGCTAATTTTTTCTATATATTTTTAGTTGTCCGATTAATTTATTTTCTATTTTTAGTAGAGACGGGGTCTCGCTCTTGCTCAGGCTGGTCTCGAACTCCTGAGCTCAAACAATCCACCTGCTTCAGCCTCCCAGAGTGCTAGGATTACAGGTATGAGCCACCACGCCTGGCCGTCATGTAATTCTCAATGCTCAAAATTCTTCAGTGGTTTCCCACAGCCCGATCATTCCCTCTGCCTTACCTTGATGCCCGAGCTCATTTACAATCTATCCTCATGTTTCCAATCTTTACACGGCTTCCACATTCCAACAAAACACTATCACATACTTAGTTTCCCAAACTTGCTGAAGATTTAAGTATTTAATATTAGCTATTTTTATTGATGACTTAGTTCATTTGCCACTTTATCAGGGATTTCTCTGTCTTTCCAGCTGGGAGCAATCTCTCTTGCTTTTCATGTTTCCTAGCACCTTGTCGCTTTTGAGAGAGCCATCACTTTGCACAAGTCTTAGTCTTTGTGAATGGCACCCTGGGCATTTTGTAGTACACAGCATGCGTGTCTTATCTCAGAGGCACTGGAAATTTGGGTCAGTTCATCTTATACCCAATCTTAAGTCTAATCTCTAAGGCTTTCCTGCCTTATTGTATACTCTTATCATTCCCCTTTGAACTGTTTTACTTAGAATGTGTCTCTCAACATAATTTTTTTCAAGCACCTTTAACGTTGAAATTTAGTAAAAATATTTAAAAAGTGTGTATTTATTGAGACAGCGTCTCTATTGCCTGGTGTAGAGTGTAGTGGTATCATCATAGCTTACTGCAACTTCAGACACCTGGGTTCAAGCAATCTTCCTGCCTCAGCCCCCCAGGTAGCTGGAACTACAGGCACAAGCAAGCCACCACACCCAGCAATTTTGTATTTTTTATAGAGATGAAGTCTCACTATGTTGCTCAGGCTGGTAAAAAATTTATGTTTTACAGCCAATTTCAATAGATGATTGTATCACATTCATATGTAACTACAGAGTTTGTTAGGGGAAGAACTAGCATGTATATGTTATCTATCGAAATGGAATTTATAATGCTACAACTTATTTTTGTTTATTCAGGCCAATTCCAGCAGTTTAAAGGGTTTCCTTTCAGCTGTGAGACTGGTTCATAGAGGCTGTGATGTTGACGCACCACTTTCAACACTCACACCAGTGAAGACTTCAGAATTTGAAAAGTTTAAAACTAAAATGGTTATCACATCCAAAAAGGACTATCCACTAAGCAAGAATTTTCCTTATTCCCTGGAACATCTTCAGACTTCTTATTGTGGGCTTGTCCGAGTTGATATGCGCATGCTTTGCTTAAAAAACCTTAGGAAATTAGACTTGAGTCACAACCATATAAAAAAGCTTCCAGCTACAATTGGAGACCTCATATACCTTCAAGAACTTAACCTGAATGACAATCACTTGGAGTCATTTAGTGTAACCTTGTGTCACTCTACACTCCAAAAGTCACTTCGGCGTTTGGATCTCAGCAAGAACAAAATCAAGGCACTCCCTGTGCAGTTCTGTCAGCTCCGAGAACTTACAGATATAAAACTTGACGATAATGAATTGATTCGACTTCCTTTCAAGATAGGACAACTAACAAACCTTCGTTTTTTATCAGCAGCCCGAAATAAGCTTCCATTTTTGCCTAGTGAATTTAAAAATTTATCCCTTGAATACCTGGATCTTTTTGGAAATCGTTTTGAACAACCAGAAGCCCTTCCAGTTATAATGCTGCAAATGCCATTAACTTTATTGGAATATTCTGCACAAACTGTATTAAATAATAGGTAAGATTTTAATAGTCATAAAAGGTACCTTTGATCCTAGTATTCTCATCAAACTCAGAGTAATAGTTAAAGTCTGATATAGCCTACAATGCTGTGCATAATCTGACCCCATGCTATAATGTCCTTTTTGCTGCTTTTTGCCTCTGCTTGGAATGATTTTCCTCCAGGAAGTCTCATAGCTCAGTCCTTGACTTTATTCAGTTCCCTGCCCAAGTGTCATCCCAGAAAGGTCTTACCTGTTCATCTTATCAAAAGTTTTATTCCACATCTCCTTATATTGCTTGATTTTTTTGTCGTAGGACTCATTACTCTTGATTGCCCAGGACTACAGGCACACACCACCACACCTAATTTTTTAAATTTTTTTGTAGGGATGGGGTCTTGCTATGTTGCCCAGGCTAGTCCTGAAGTCCTGGCCTCAAGTGTTCCTTCTGCCTCAGCCTCCCAAAATGCTGGGATTACAGGCATGAGCCACCATGCCAGGCCTATTTTTTTTTTTTTTAATTTTTTTTTTTGTTTGCTGTCAGTTTTCCCCCCACTAGAATGTTACGATTCATGAATGCATGGATGTGGTTTTATTCTGCATTTCCCTAGGATCTAAAATGTGGTATCCCCTGGCATATATTCCACACTGAATAAGTAGTTGAATGAATGAATAGCATTGTTTCTCAAAGTGTGTCCGTTTACCAGCAGCATCAGCATCACCTGGGAACTTGTTAGAGATGTAAGTTCTGGCTGGGTGTGGTGGTTCATGCCTGTATTCTCAGCACTTTGGGGTTTTGAGGTGGATCACTTGAGCCCAAGAGTTTAAGACCAGCCTGGGCAACATAGAACCCATCTCTACAAAATAAATTTTAAAAATCAGGTAGCTGTGGTAGCTTGCATCTGTAGTCCCAGCTATGTGGGAGGCTGAGGCAGGAAGATCGTTTGAGCCCAGGAGTTCAAGGCTGCAGTGAGCTATGATCTCACCACTGTACTTCAGCCCAAGGTGACAGAGAGACTCTGTCTCAGAGAAAAAAAAAAAAAAAAGGGAAAAAAAAAAATATGTTCTTGGACTACACCACAGACCTCCTGAATCAGAAACTGAGAGTGGGGTCCAGCTATCTGTGTTTTAATAAGTCCTCCAGGTGATTCTAATGTACCCTTTGAGAACTCCAGTCTGACATAGTGGTGAAGTATGGTCTTCGAAGTGAGAGTTGGATTTGATTCCTGGCTTCACCCCTTTGTATGACTTTAGCAAGCCATTTAACATTTCTGATTCAGTTTTCTCATCTGTGAATCTGAAACAGGAACAATAATAGCCACCTTTCAGAGTTGTGAAGATAAATGAGCTAATATAATGCAGAAGTATTTGGCATGCAGTAGTACTCAGTAGCAGTTGGTTCTCTTCCCCTAGCCTTTTTTTTTTTTTTTTTTCCCTTAATACTGGTTCTTGCTCTGTTGCCCAGGCTCACGGCTCACTGCAGCCTCAAACTCCTGGGCTCAAGCATTCCTCCCACTTCAGCCTCTTAAGTTACTGGGATTACAGGTGTGAGCCATGTACCCAGCTGGCTTAATTTTTTTAATTTTTTTTTAGGAGCTAAGGGCTCTTTAAAAAACTGACCAAAGTCAAACATACAGAAAAATGCATATGTGAATACACGGAATTTTGCATGTAATTTTTATGCTCCTGGACCCCACTGAAACCCAATCTAGTCTTCCCTCCTTACTATCCCCAGTGGAAGAATTGTTGTTCTAGCTTTGCACCTTGGCAGTATTGTAGCCAATGAGGTTTATCTGAGGCACGATTATTGCTAATTGAAAACTTTTCCCAGTACCCTGCATGATGACTTGAAATATAGTCAGCATTAGCAATTTTTGACAGTCTCTACAGAGACAGAATTAAAAACAAAAGAAAAAAATCTAAAAAAAAAGGTGAGGCTAATTTGAAAAGATTGCTGTTCCCCACCCTCAGAGATTCTGAGTAAGTTTTGGGTGGGGCTAAAGAAATTTTAGCTCTAACAAGTTCCCAGGTGATGCTGATGATGTACTGTTTGGAAGTGCTGGTTTAAGGCATTGACCCTTAACTAGGAGTTAAGAATTGCCTGTTAAATGATAATACATGTAATTGCCTAGAACAATGCCTGACTCATAAAAGGTCTCAAATATTTATTGGATATATAAATATATGTAATTTGCTTGTCTGGCAATTAAAAGTCAATCAATGTTGTTCTCATTAGCTGTAGAGGAGCTTTTATTTTTATTTTTTATTTTTATTTTTTTTTTGAGACAGAGGCTGGCTCTGTTGCCCTGGCTAGAGTGCCGTGGGGTCAGCCTAGCTCACAGCAACCTCAAACTCCTGGGCTCAAGTGATCCTTCTGCCTCAGCCTCCTGAGTAGCTGAGACTACAGGCATGTGCCACCATGCCCGGCTAATTTTTTATATATATATTTTTAGTTGTCCAGATCATTTCTTTCTATATTTTTTAGTAGAGACGGGGTCTCGCTCTTGCTCAGGCTGGTCTCGAACTCCTGACCTTGAACGATCCACCCGCCTCAGCCTCCCAGAGTACTAGGATTACAGGCATGAGCCACCGTGCCCGGCCTAGAGGAGCTTTTAAATAACATACATGAGAAACATAGAGGCCTAGATTCCACCTCACACCAACTAGTTCAGAATCTCTGGAGATGGGCCTCTATTTTATGTTATATATATTTCTTTGAATCTTCAGAAGTGATGTTGATGATTCAGGTTAAAACACCCCATTTGAAGGAATTCCAAATGGTGTCTTTTGGCAATGAGTTTCTCCTGAGGCTCTTGTTTCTCTCAGACGTGTATAAAAGAAATTATATATTTGAATTTGAAAATTGTGTCCAAATGAAGAAATGTTATGAATAATTTTCAAGGATTTGATAAGACTATAACAAATTGGCTAAATGATCAGGTAAAAATTGACTGAAGTCCAACATAGGAAAAAGTACAGTGTTAGAAGGAAAAAAATAAATGATCAAAATGTGATATAATTGGCTAGGTACAATTCCACAGCAAAATAATTTGTTAGTGCTGAATGAATTAACATTACAGTATTTATATATTTTTTAAACTTGCCCTCTATTAATATGACTTCTTGTAAAGTGACCCTAAGCTTTATTGAAGTTTAATTTTGCATGTTTTCAGCCCCCTTGTTCTAAAAAGGATATAGATCCAAAGTTATGACAGCAATACCTGTCGACAAATGGTCTTAACTAGTGGTTAGAAACATAAAAGTTATGATCTAGGAAAATATGTGGGAATTTAAGTTACGTTAGATAGAAAATACAGTTTTTAATTGTTATCTGTTTCCTCATTCTGTAACTATCCTGAAAGAGATTAATGTAAACATGTGATAGGTACTTCCTAGCAGTTTTTAAAAAATGATTACTTACACAAGCAACAAATTAATATTCTTTTTATGAAAAATAAAAAATTGCAAATAGAGCCAATTCTAGATCCCCTACTAAAGGTAACTACTATTTTTGATTTGATGTATATCTTTTCAGACTTTTCTGATAGGTTTTAACTCTAGTTTAACTTATAAGAGTAGGCTTATTTATTTGTTGAAAAATACCTGAGCACCTACTGAGTGCTAACCTAGGCTGGGGACTAGAGAAACAAAAAAGAACAAGACAGCATGTGGGAGACAAAGTAACAGGCATGGCTGTGTTCAGCTGAGGGGAGTTGGGTAGTGGGCAGGCAATCTCAGGACTTTCTTAGTGTCTTGTAGATGATCACAAAAAGTTTGATTTGATTTTAATTGCATTGGGTACCACTGAAGGGTTTTAAGTAGGAAGGCAAAATGATTTAAGCAAGGTGAGGTTAAATGATTTAAGTAAGGTTAGCCTTACTGGTTCAGCCAGTCAAGTAAAACTAATGTCCCAAACAACATGTGTTTTAAATTTGTTTTGAAAAGTTTAAATTTCCCTTTTGAACAATTGATGCCTAGGAGAATATATATAAAGGACAGATGACTTTTTCATTCTATTTAGTAAATTATGCTATTAAGTGGCCATGCTGAAAGATACTTTATGGAGTAGTATCTTAGGTTCCCAATATATCATATGCTGTTTTTTAGTATATTTTTCCCATTCTTACCAATTAGGAAGAGAAATACTGAGTCACTTAAGTAATAATGTAATTTTACTTTTCCATTGTTATAATTCAGTGTCCTAATAATTTTGTCCTAATACATGAAGTTCTGAATCTAGTAACATGTTTTTAAACATTTTTTCCAATAGGATTCCATATGGCTCTCATATCATTCCATTCCATCTTTGTGAAGATTTGGATACTGCAAAAACCTGTGTTTGTGGAAGATTCTGTCTAAGCTCTTTTATTCAAGGAACTACTACTATGAATCTACACTCTGTTGCTCATACTGTGGTCTTAGTAGATAATATGGGTAGTACTGAAGTACCTGTTATCTCTTACTTCTGTTCTCTAGGCTGTTATGTAAATTCCTCTGATATGTTAAAGTAATAGACAATACCACAAAAAGAAATTTCATTTCATTACATAACTTTTTGGGATTCATTTATGATTTAACAGTGTCACATCAAGAAAGGGAAGCTTTTTGTATACTTACTTGAGAGGAGGAATGTGTGTTAGTTTAACAATTTAAGTCATTTGATTCCAAAACTTTAATTTCATTAAAACCAACTTTAATTTTACTATGGGGTTAACTTTTTTTTTTTTAGAGGGGAGAGGGGAGCGGGGAGCAGTGGGGTTAACTTTTTATCAGTTCATTGCACTTATGTTAATTTAAGCCTGAAGTTTCCAGGGTGGTTGTGGAGTTATCTTTTAATGTTAAACAGTTATTGATTCCAATTTCTCTGTTCATAAGAATTTTATCAACATTCTTCTTAAATTTCAACTAAAGAAATTTGAGTTTCTGTATGCAGAAAATATACCTTGGAGGACTAATATGTTCTAAATTATAGTGAAAACTTGTTTAGTATGAAACTATATATAAGTTGCTAAGCATATCACTTTTTAGGTTTTTTAGGTGTATTCTACATATACAAGTTTTAAATATAAATTTGTATTAAAAATACCAAGCATAAAGTAGAAATTGCTTTGAGACAGACTTCAGCTTTTATAAATTTTATAATGTTCACATAATCTTTGTTGTGATTTCTGAATTTATTTTGGGGGGTGGGTGGGAGAGGGAGCAGAAATTTTAAGTTTTTAACTTAAAAAATGTGGCAATATACCAGCTAAATGTTGATTTGAACTAGGGCAGAGGGAATGGAAATGTAACTGACTTCAAAGAATCATGGAAAATAGAATCAGTATTAACTGTTTCATTCTATTCATTCCTACTGCCCTAACAAATCAGCCTCTCCACTAGACGATTGTAATAACCTCAAAACTGGATTTTGTGAACAAAGAAGAAAGTCAAAATTATAAGAGAAAAGCTTCTCCAGTGTTTGCATAATATAATTGCTGCTTTGGGCTTGGAAATAGAGTCTCTATATGACTGTTTCTTTAAAAATGACTGCCTCTTCCCTTTGTCTTCAGAAAATATTTGGGGCTTTTTTTTTTCCTTTGTGAAAATTCAAATACTCCTAGTAAATGCTGTTTTGCTTTTTTATCATTCTCTTAAATTTTTTTGTAGAGGCAGGGGTCTTGCTATGTTGCCCAGGCTGGCCTCAAACTCCTGGCCTCAAGAGATCCTCCTGCCTTGGCCTCCCCAAATGCTGGGATTAGACATGAGCCACTATGCCTGGACTAGATGCTGCTTTAAATGTTAGAACATTTTTATTAAAACTATTTATATATGATCTTTAAAAGTTTCTATGCAGAGCCGATTCTCTGAGAGACTAGACATTGGTCCAGAGCAGGGATGGGGAAGCTTTTCATGTTGGAAGGCCACATTAACTTAGCTATAATCAAATAAGGCCACATTCAAGAAACTTCAATTAGATACACTTAAAAAAGTACATTATTTTGTGAAAATCTAAAAAATACTATGTACTTAATAATTTCCAAAAATGAAAACTATTTGTTAAAGTTAACCTTTTAATGACTTTGTCATCTTTGCTTTTTGTTGGAAAGCATTTGAATATTTGGTTGTAGCATGGAGGTCCGCAGTTTCAGTTGATCCTCTAGATGGTATCAGTCATTTATGACCTTAAGGGTGTCTTGATTTGGGTTAGGTAGGAGAATGCAGATTAAAACAATAAGTGGTTGAAAAGCGAGAAAGCATTTTTCAGGCATGTTGCTGAAGGCGTGGGTATTCTGCATTTTTCCGTATTGCAATTGGGTCTTTCTTAGCATCAAACAATGACTTTAAAATGTCATTTACTGAGAGCTCAATCAATTCTATCTGTAGTTCTTTTAGGTACCTTGGTGATATCAACTAGGTGAGGTTGAAATGCTAATTTGAGTGTGATGTCATGATTCTCAAAGTTAGTGAAACTTTCATTGTATTATCCAATTAAGGTCTGTAACAGCTGTGTATTCTTCAAATGATTCACATATATCATCCTGCTCATCAATGACCTTTGCTTACTGTGGAAAATGTTCATCTGAAATTTCCTTTTGAAGAAGTGTTTTGAAAAAAGATAGCTTTTTTTTTAATGCTTGCATATTGGGCCACATATCGTATATGGACTTAGTTTTACCTCGCAAAGAACTATTCAAGTCATTGTGACTTGATGTGATCTCACACAGAAATGCTGCATTCCTATAGAAATCTTCTTTCAATAATTCACATTTTTGATTCTTTTCTTCATAAAATTTATCTGTTCTCACAGAGAGAAATTTTGGGTAACACCTGACCGTGCCATAGCCACCATACTTTATGATACAGCAAATCCACACTGAATACCTCATCATTCAACTTTAGCATGTTACTGACAATGCCATCTTGCATTTGCACAAATATTGTTAACAATACTTATAACTTGCTGCAAAGTGTCCCTTAAAAATAGTAGCTTTAGCACAGAGATTTTTACTGATGGAAGATACAATGAAAAATGAGAGCATCTGGATCTGTTAATACCTTTTTTTTCTGTGCAATAAGCCCTTCATGTTTTCCTGTCACAGAAGGTGTACCATCTGTACACACACACTAAATTTACCAAATTCAGTCCAACTTCACATTTATCTTGAAAGTTGTTGAAGATAACTATTACCCATGTTCTGGTCACAAGAGTGCCCAAAGCAAGTAACTCTTCTGTAGCAAAGAAAATCTTCTGCCATGACCCGAATGAGATATAAAACCTGCGTCGAGTCAGTAGTATCATTTGGTTCATCCAAAGTGATTGAATAATATATATTATTTCCTTTTGAAGTATTTTATGAGTTGCTCTGTTAAGGTGAAGGTTAATGGCATGCTGCCAATCTGTTATGGTTCTCCTAGAAAGAGGCAGTTGTTTGTACTTTCAAACGTTATCAGGGTTATCAGGGTCTAAGCATCCTAGTTCAGCCCAGAAGTTTGAGGTTGCTGTTGAGCTAGGCTGACACCATGGCACTATAGCCCAAGTGACAGAGCAAGACTCTTGTCTCAAAAAAAAAAAAAGGAACTCTTTAAAATGTAACATGGTGTATTTAAAAATTGTGCACGTCTGATTTTCGTTATTGTAGAAAAACAATTTTTTCATCAACAAATGAATCTATATGTCTATATTGGGGTTAAATGCTAACCATCTGTCACTCCCTACACCCTAGCCCTTTTCATTCTTCTAATTCTACGAATTTAGTCATTCCCGTGTATCTTTCAGTCCATTTAAAATTTATATACAAAAAGAAGAAATTGTCCTCTTATAACCTATACACTTTCCCAGTTTATTTAATCCTTTCACTTGATACTCAACTTTTTCTTGCCTTACATAGGTAATTACTAGGCTCAATTCTTTTCATTCTGAGTTTCAACCTTCCATTCTCTTTTCATTCATAACTGCTTACCTCCTCAACCCTCTAAACTGTCAAGAAGTTCTAATATTTGAATACCTCCAAGAGCGCATTCTACGGAGTTCAAAAAACAAGGTTTATGTTATCATGGACTCATAATTTTTCACTTTCCCTAGACGCAGAACTTTTTGTAATTTGAAGTCAATTTTGAGTTCCTGGCATATATTAAAGACCATGATCTAAAAGTGCTGTCCTGGTTAGCACAGTGGCTCACCATTGTAATCCCCGTGCTTGGGGAGGCTGAAGCAAAAGGATCACTTGAGGCCAGGAGTTCAAGGTTACAGTGAGCTATCATTATGCCACTATACTGCAGCCTGGGCAACACAGTGAGACCCTGTATCTAAAAAATAAGTAAAAAACATTTTAATATTGTCCAAAATAACTTTCTGTAGTGGAAATGTTTTATATCTGTGTTGTGTGATAAGCTAGCCATATGTGGCTGTTGAGTACTAAATATGGCTAGTATAACTGAGGAATTGCATTTTTAATTTAAACAGCTATGTGGCTAGTGGCCCCTACTAGACAGAACATTTGCAGAAAGTCACCTCTTATTATCCCTCAACTTGGCTCCTCTGCTCCTAGTTTATATTTTTTTTCCTAAATCTGATTGAGACCCTTCCTAGATGTTCTTTATTTTCCCCTATTCTATCTCTATAACTTGGTTGCAAAGTATTGAGGCAGGACTTGTCTTTATATGTAAATACAAAATTCCAATTTGGGGGAATTGAATTTTAAATAGAATTTAAGAAGAGGATAAACCTTTGTTCACTTCCAAAGAATTTACTGTTAGTTCCTAAATCTAGAACAACGTTAAACATGCAATTCCACTTAAAAGACAAAAAAAACAAAAGGTTTTAACATCATTGTATTTATTTCCCTACAGGTTAATTTTTCTATAGCTTCAACATTTTCTCCTCAAAATTAAAGGACAAAAGGAGTCCCAAAGGTTAGAACTGGATCACTTGGCCTTTTCTTTTCTTATCTCCTCCCAGTTCAAAATGCTTGCATCTCTTAATGGCCAGCATCCTCTTGGATCTGCAGTTAGGCTCAACACATTCCAGCCTTAGCACAATCTTCTTTGTGGTTTTAGCCTTCTTCCGGAAAATTGGCTTTGTCTGCCCACCATAGCCACTCTGCTTCCGATCATAGCGCCTCTTTCCCTGGGCATACAGGGAATCTTTGCCCTTCTTGTACTGGGTCACTTTGTGAGGTTGATGCTTGCCACACTTCTTACAGAAAGTTCTTCGCGTTTTAGGTACATTGACCATCTTTACTGTAGAGCTGTCTGTTTATACAATGAAATCTGTAGTAAAATATTTAAGGTAGCAGACATTAAATATTCTGAAAAGTGAAAAGTGCTATATACTTAGCTATTCCTAGATATTTATAGGAAAACAGTATTGGATCAGCAATGTATAAATCCACCAAGTACTCACTGCCCTATGAATAAACGCCCATACAAATGTATACCTTTTGGGAACACTTAGTTTAAATTATTGGAACATTGATATGTTGACTGAAAGGAAAAAACTTAGGTGAAATTAATGTAAGTATAGAGTTTCTTTGGGCCAAGTTTGAGGACAGCAACCGGGCAGCATAGATTCAAGTTGTCCTGAATATATGCTCTACTACCAGTAGTTACAAGTGGGTTTTTAAAGGAAAAAGAGGCAGTTCCTAAGTTGTTTACAGAGAATTTACATTAAAATAACACAAGCTATTGATTGCTCCCAGAGCACGCGGCAGGGATGAGGGG